GAATGAGCGTTTTTTGCATTCCGCCTAAAGTTAAAGCGTTACAGCGTGGACATGTTAACCCCAAGGGTGACCAACATCAACTTTCTCCTAACAATATCCATATGTTGCCAAGATGAATGGTTATGAGAGTTAATAAAATGATCACTAACGAGAAAATGCTTTGATCTGTTATCAAAGTGAAACTCTCTCAACTAATTCTTTAAAGAAATGTATGGAGATCAGTGTGGACAATTTATATGTGAATATTTGGGCTTAAAGGCGCTAAAATAGCGCGACGAAGTGTAAATAAACTCGGAACTAAAAAGGACATTATTTTGTAAGTATATACATGCAAAAACTAATGATATTGGCGTCATGATGTCGCCGAAACGTCTGAACTTTATTTCGTTAGTTTTTACTAGGTTTATAAACTAAAACCATCAAGATAGAGCAGAATAAGTTACCAGGTTTTTTGGATTCTCGGAGTCTACATTGTTCAGGAGTGTACAGTAAGCAGTTTACAGTGTACGGAATAAACCTGTGAGTTCCAGAACTGGTGCACGACTACTCTTCTACAAGGATACGACACATATCCAAATCAGATCCAACCTATAAAAATGGCTGGGTTCATACACAGTAAGTTCTCACACCACTTCCAGTAGGTTCGATTACCAGTCAAGCTAGGGAAGACCAGAAATCGAGAAAACGGGGGAAATCGAGTCTACATGACAGAAAAAAAAAACAGAAAAAATTAAAAACAAACAAATAAGGTGTTGAGTCCCTGAATTATTCCCTTGTCTTATTCAGAACACTCTGTCATAGGCGAGCCTCTTGTTACCATGCAAAAAACTGCGGCTAGATCAAACAAACGCGGCTGCACGTTCACAACAGAGACATCCAAACAGGTCCAGTTTCTAGACTTTCAGGAAGTCCGTTTTACCACTGGGTCATCCGCCGTTTTCCCGACTTCGTCGCTCAGAAAACTCGACTTGTCGGCAAGTCTACTCGCTTTGTTTCGTTTTTAGCATTTTAATAGTATAGTTTATTTAGAGTCTCCAATTAGTCTTATCTGGGCGAAATAATTTGACGTTCAAATAAAGGTTTTATCTATCAGTTTCCTGTTGTCAGTGATTGAAACGAGTCCGACTTTTGGTCGAGGTGTCAAAAGTCGGACTCAATTCTATTACAGTTTTCATACCCAATTAGATAAGCTTATCTGTCGCTTTAGCACTTCCTTAATCTTGACCTGAAAAAGAGTGCACTATCCCGCTAAAAAAACCCTCAAAGTTTCATTGCACGCAGCTTACAGCGTGTAATCATGTACTAATGCATGCTGAGCGTGCAATGGCGTTCTCAGATTTTGCTTCAGTACGACTGAATTTGAAATTTTAAGTCACCTAATATTTGGTGACCTGTGTTTAATACTCTGATTGTAATGTCACATGCGGCGGAAATGCTAGTCTGCAAGCTCAGCTTTAATAGATTCACGGTGGGTCACGATAACCGCAAGTTGACAAGCATAGGGATTTGTAAAGCCGCGTAGCACTTGTGTAAACCGGCGCCGCGGTTGTTGCGAGTGTTAACCCCTTCTAATTCACTCTTAGACGTGAGTGCCTAACAAAAAAATTACACAAAATTTCCAAATTTCATTTAGTAAAAATGCTTTAAACAAAGAGCACCATGTGAAAGTGCTGCCAACCAGGTTTCATTTGAATGGTCACATCATAGGATTTTTTAAAAATATACAGATCGAAAAACAACACCATTCATTCACCCTGAACCATTCGGGTTTTTATTAATCACCCTGGGCATACTAACTATTCTCAAGGAGAGAAAGGATAAGTCGAAAGGAAACGGAAACTGTATGTTGTTGTGGATAATATGAAATGAGAAGCTTTACAACAAGATGGTAGCGCAGTCGGCACGTGCACAGGCGGTGTTGGACACGGTCCGAAGGGCATCATGGGGAAAAAATCAAAAACGGCTCATTTGCATCTGACCTTCGCTCTGTTCACATCTCTCGTTACGCCATAAAAATACCGGGAGAAATAGTGTGATATGGGCATTACAGGTCTTTTTCCGCTTTTAAAAGATATAACATGCGATGTTCATTTGAGATCTTTCTCCGGAAAAGTGGCCGCAATCGACGTTTACTGCTGGCTTCTCGAGACTGTTGTTTTCTGTGTCGAAGAGATAATTTTAGGGATCGAAACAACGCGGTACGTATCAACACTTCGTTCTTACATGTGGTTAAAGTGCTTGATTTTGAACGTAAGCTTCTCTTCAGTACTCTTCTCACCTCAGATTTTTTTCCAGGTACATTGACGTGTGCATGAAGGATACTGATCTTCTCATCGAAAATAATGTGGTCCTATTATGGCTCTTGGTGCAACCTATTCTGGTTTTCCAGAAGAAGCTGAGCGCAAGGCAAAAGTGGAATCCTCCCTCGCTAACTTGTTGATGTTGAGGGCAACAGCAAGTTAGCGGAGGTTTTCTATTCATTTTAGTCCGTATGAATTCAGTTTTATTTGTCCGCTGTTTTTTGTATGATTTATTAGGAATCGTGAAGAATCTCGCACAGGTTTAACTCTTCGCAAACAAGGGCAGGGGCGGATCCAGGATTTTTTGTAGGAGGGGGTGCACTCGTCTCTTGCTCTACTTCAACACCAATAAACCACATAGTTTTTTTTTTTGCAGAATACCAGTTGTATTAGAAAACCGCAGGTCATCTCAGGGGTGGGGGGGGGTGCGCACCCCCTGCACCCTCCCCCTAGATCCGCCCCTGAAGGGCAGAAGGAAGAAGCCAAGGAACTATTCAAAAAGGAGGCCCTAAGGGCCGCTTCGATGACATATATATATCACAAAAACATATCATAGTTTTTAAGACGAATAAAAAAGGAAAGAAAGAAAGTATTCTAAGCTGATCGTGTAGTGAAAGTCTTCTAAGCCGATTCGAACGTGACCGCGCGAGTATATTTATAATACTAAAGATGCCGCGGAATGGAGTCACGATTCATGCACGTAGGTAAACTTCAAGTGGCATTTTGACCCTTAAAACGGCGGGGCCCGCAGGGGCCCGCCGACCATTTCAGATACTTGAACAACAAAACTAATAGATTATGCTAAAACATGTTTTACATCTCTCAACAGTCACAATAAAAAAAAATCCAGCACATTTCAGCAATCCTCTTTCATTTAACAAACAAATGCGTTTATCACTTAACCCCTCAAAAGGTTTACGGATGCAAAATAAGGTTAAATCGAGTAAACAGCCCCCATCCTCCTCCCCTTATCACCCAACCCCCTCCCCGCACGTGTTTGAAGTCTATCGTGTTTACTGTACAAAATTAATCGTATCGCATCAACTTGACACTTCTATTAAGCGGAAGCGGCAGTTTCTAGTATGCCTAAGGCAAACCGGAGTTTTTAAGCTCTAAGAATCACGGAAACTGGCGCATCCTAAAGTAGACTGAACAACATGAAATGGAGAATATATCAGTAGCGGAGGTACCGTTGGATGTCTTGCTCAGGTCGACTATGAGGGTCTCCTTTTTCCACCCAGCGCTCCCTTAATCCTCCTTCCTTAGATCTGCTGCCAGTAAAATCGATTACGCTCATTTCGGGATCGCTGACGCCGCTTTATCGTTGGGTAAAAAACGTTGGGGAAAGTGTTAACTCTTGCAGGCTATACAGGAGTATCGGCTCCGTTTCAGTAACAAATAACATTCGACACCAAAAGTTCTTCTCAGGAAACCTGTTAAGGCGGACACCTTTTATTTAGCTGACACTATACCGTTGAATTGCAATAATAATAATAATAATAATAATAATAATAATAAT